ATTGCAAAAAAAAAAAAAAAAAAGGCTAATTGAGCATCATCCAAGTCGCAGTGCACCTGCAAGGTTACACCCACCGCTGCTGCAGAGGCCAGTTATTCCGCTTTGGCCCCGAGGCGCAGCGCGACTCTGTCTCTGTCTCTGCCCCCCCCCCTTAACACACTGTGTCTCGTGCAGGTCTCATAGAGATCTCCACCGTGGACCGAGGAGTGATCAGCCTGTTCGGGGTGAGGAGCGAGCTGTTTGTCGCAATGAACAGCAGAGGAAGGTTGTACGGAACGGTACGTCTGTGCGCAAACGCTCCGCCACACACACACACACACACACACACACACACATCCGGGCCCCGCTGTAAGACGAGTTCATGGAGCTGCTGCTGCATCCACGAGTTTATGAGCGTTGTTGTGTTATTAATATGCCCTGATGATAGGAGGGGTTTCACGGCGGGATCCAAGAGGCAACTTTGGAGATAGGTTTAATGCTTAAATCTCCTGCCCCCCCCCCCTCATAATCGGAGATTAAAAAAAAATATATCGAGCTCTGCTCAAAATAAATGTTGAGGTGTCTATTTGAAACCCAAGTCCTGCATTAACACTATGACTATTGGAAGAAATGAACAGTTATGCTAATTTAACTATTTGTATAGCAGCAAAGTGACATAGCTCTCTAATGTATGATTTGTTTAATTTCTGTTTTTGATTATATTGATAGAAACATATCCAGTGGAGTAAAAACACTTTGCCTGAAAAAGTATCTTAAAACTACATTGAGTTACATTATGTTACTGGAATGTATATGTTTCTTTCTTTTTTTATTTTGTGACACTGCTTTTTAAAGTCATAGCGTGTCAATTTATCGTTTTAAAAAAACTTAATGACAAGACAAACTTAGTCTCCAAAAGTGGGTCATTTCTGAGCAGCTGCTTGATGCCTCCATGGAGGCATTTGATTTTATTTCATAAAAGGCAGAGTCTGATTCATTAAAGATAATAGGCCTTTACCAGCTGAAGATGGCATTACATGTAAAGCTAACAAAGCTGAGTTTCTGTTGATATGGTGGTGTGTAGTTGACCAGTTAGACTTTGGTGTGAATCAAAAATGGAAAAGGAATCATCATCATCAAACAAGTTACGCAGATTTTGTATAATGCCAGCATGTGAACGACTTAGTTTAAAGAAACACAATTGTGTTATCAGACACTGTGTGATCCAGACCAAAGAGCCAGATTAAAATAGCATGCAGCCCATAAAGGCCCTTTTATACCTTCACAAAAGTATCTGTCTGCAGCCATTTTTTAAAGCTGATGGACGGACACACAGGCCTCCATCAACAGACAAGCTGCAGTTCTGATGTTGTGTGGTGCATGAGTTTTGATTGTTTAAAAGTAAGCAAGGGCTGGCCAAAACCAGGAGGGTCTGACCATGACTGATTTCCCAACAAAGAAGGTGGATTACCGAAAACACAGCCACAAACTGCACAGTCTTTATCGTCTAATACTTAGTTTTGCTTCATCACAAAGTAAATCTTAATCCACTGTCACTGATGTCTTTACCATAGAAGACAAATGTTAAGGGACCAACAACAGCACCAACACAACAAAGAGCACTCCACAAGAAAATTCACCCAAGAAGTAGCAAACAGTCAAAACATCTAGACATGCGTTTGGGATACACTAACAGAGAATATTCCGCCATTAGACATTAATAATTGTCCTTAAATACCCTCAGAACGGCATCATAACTGTGTTACACTCAGAAGTGAAACAAGAAGCATTATTTTTTATGTATTTTGTATTGTAAAAAGTCATTGTTAGGAGGGAGGAGGGTGGCTGGATGGAGCAGTCCATTGCTGGGCCTTTATGGGACTCTAAACCAGCAGACATGCATGTTCTGTGATTAGTAAGATAGCACTTTGCTGAACACTTTTGTCTCCCCATGGTTGGCTTTGGACAGTAAAAGGACTAGGGGGCAGGTTGGAAACCAACAATGTTTCGATCTTAAAAACAAGCTGCCATTTTTCCGGTTCAGCCCAGTTCCTTTTATGAGCCGTAGAGGTCACATACACTTTAAAATGTCTGCATTAGCCTGAGCAAACCGGAATACTGATCATCCAGGTTCACCTTGGAAGAGTTTCCAGAGAGCAGTACTCAGCTGTTTACCATTAACACGAGCAGTTGTGGCAGTTATAGTTTTGAGGTGGATGTCATCTTTAGAATTTGTTCATCTTTCCAAAAGATTGGATCTAAAAAGCAGTGCCCAATCATGGTACCTGAGATTTTGAGTTCACGTGTAAAAGCATTTAGTTGGTATCCACATTTTTCAGCCACAGCAAACCCCCCCCCACCACCACCACCACCTCTCCCGTTTCCCTTAAAGCATGCTGTCTGGTCAGGCCATTGGCCACAACAAGGGTCAGGCTGAAAAGAGCCATACATTGGGATGTTCTTGCTGCGTTTGCCGTGAGATTTACTGACCCTATCTTTTTGTCTTTCCTCGCCTTCTCAAGGGAGTCTTCAGGGACGAGTGCAAGTTTAAGGAGAGTTTGCTGCCCAACAACTACAACGCCTATGAGTCTTTTGTTTACAAGGGCTTCTATATCGCCCTCAGCAAGCATGGCCGCGTAAAGAGAGGCAACAAGGCGACCACCGCCATGACTGTCACACATTTCCTCCCACGACTATGAGAGAGACTGACAATTATTCAGTAATTTGCACATGCTGGATGTTCTTCCAGGTAATAGAGAAATGCATAGTCATAAAATGCACACCCATGGACTGCAAAAGAAAACACAAATATTTATTCTGTTATATATAAATATATATATATGTATATTTGGATAGTTGTATTTGTATATGTATGCCAATTTTTTGCTGCTTATTGTTTTAATGGACGGGGAGATCGAAGGCTTTGCCTTTCTCACTTTACCGTGGTGCTTGCTTTAACCGAACTACATGTCACTTACTTTTCTGAGATGGAGGATGAGCTATATTCTGAGCTTTTAAAGAGTGAAATGAATACTTTTTATTACCTCAAAGAACCACTTCACTAGGTTAAGGGATGCATGGACTTCTGCTGAAATACTTGCTAAGTTTATTGTTTTGTTCAAACCTTTGAACACTGGATGGTTTCCGTACTTGATTCTTGATGTCCTGCAGTGGGGGGATCTTAAATGCACTACCTACGCTGCATGATTTAAAGGTGCCTTGGTGTTCCCACTTGTGGCCCCCTTAAACTTGCATGTAAGAGACACCAGGAGGAGTCAGAAATAGGGCTGACACTCTGGAGAGGGGCTCAGAATAGGGGGGGAGGGGGGATGACTATCTCTGGTTTATTTTCTTTCCTGTAATTAGATCGATTAAGTGAAAAAACAACCTGTGGTTGAGACCAGGGAGCAGATAGTCATAGAGAATGACACAAGGCCATACATTTGACTGTGTTGAATAACCAGTGAACAAACAGGGTAGAATACTTATCTATCCCAGCATGGAAAAACTTTGTGTTCGGACCTGACTTGCTTCTGCAAATGCATCGACTGAGCGGATAGAGCGCACAATAGATATGCTCCTGTATACTGTCTTCGAAAGGGCCCCAACACTAGAAGTGGGTTGCTGTTATTGATATGCAAAGCTTTAGCTGCTATGTACTAAAATGATGAAACCAATGGAAAATGTAAATAGCTGCAATTTAAAAAGAATTCTGAATATTTTTAGTGCAAGAAAAAGAAAAACAATGTTGGGGCTGCACAGTGGTGGTACCTAAATGTTGTGGTCTAAAGTTCCCCTTATGTGTCTCTTTCTTCTGTTTATCTTTTGGTCAGTGTTTGGTAGGGGATGTGGTGTCATAGGCCTTTTTTGCAGCTGCCGTGCAGTGGCAGTGAGGTGCTGGGATCTGGAAGGAAAATGTTTTAAATGCAAATATCGATGACTCAATCAAGCGTTTTGAAGGACTTAGGAACAGTGAAGCTGGCAGACTGGATGCAAAGTATCATTTTGAGTCTATTTTTCTGTTATCTTGAATTCAAATGAATGCCTCCGAATGGAAACATTTCAGAACGGTATCCAAAAAAGCTGTTTGTTCACAAGGCTGAAGGTGTAGCATGCTTTGCAGACTCACAGTTAGTCTGAACAAATATCTTGTTACATATTCCAAAGATGTTTTTCTTGCCTCATTATTCAAATTCCAGAGAGTCCTCTAGAGTGCATCTCCTCGTGTAGTTTCTGCAGCTGTTGACTTAAAAAAAAAACCTGCAGCTCTCTTCACCATCGGCCTCGATCCGCTCCTGTGCGAGAGGAGGCAGGACTATTTAAATCTAGGAAAATAGTCTGCGGGAGAGCCGACATGTTGTCTTTGTTGTCTGTCAGACTCTGGGCAGGAATGACAGGCAGCTTCCAACATACCTGAACTGTCACCTGCCACTACCCACCTCTGCCTGTCCGTAACCCCCCACCTTCACCCCCACAACTCACCCGGTGTAGGCAGGGGCCTTGGGATTCCAGCTGTAACCCAGGAGCTTCCTCCTCTCATTTGAGCCATTTTTAGTCCAAGGTCAGAGCCATTGACCAGCCTTTGCCCCAACCTCTGTGGCCAAGGTGCTCCATTGTCTGAGACAGGAATTTAGAGTATCCTTTTGGCACATGACACCTTCATTTTATCCTTAAACACAATAGATGTCATTGTTTTGTTGTTCGAAACACACTTATTGCTTCCATGAATTTCAAGCCCGACCCCTGGAAAATGCAGCAACTATAAATGTTATCGGCTCGTTTGTACGAGTGCTGATGTCCGGACTTTTCTGGGCGGGGGACATCTGCAGAGTTTCTATTCTGTGTGAGGAGCAGATCCTCACTCCGGTTTTGTGCTGCCGCACAGCTCCCCAGCATGCACCGGACATGCATCTGCTGCTGCCAGGATTCTGCCGAAACACCAAAACACCGAAACACCGAAACACCCTCACCGCCTACTCCGACCCATCAGCAACACACACGCCGATTCAGGACACTGTCCTCTGTACTCGGCCCCACACACAAATCATCTAGTTCTTGTTTCTCTCCATTCTTACTACAAGAAACATTTTAGAAAGATCTTGCGCGCAGTACAACAAAGACACGTCTTCTGTTAAGTTATCAGAATGTGAACTACGTTTTGGAGAAGTTCAGAGGAGGAAGCCGTAGAAAGTTAACTCTCATCTCAACCACCTCATCATCACGATGTCTGAAGTTTATAGTAGCACCTTACAGAGGATGTTTCAAGTCTAAGTTTAGAGTGAATCGATGAGCTGGATACATAAAAGACAAAAAGTTTGACTCTAAAACAAAATGCTCACCCTTCAGCTTTGACCAAAACTAAAATAAAGAAAAAAATCTGATTTATTTGCTGAATCTTCTTTTATTTCACAGCTTATAATAAGTCAAATTTTTTTATTAAGTCAAGGTGAGGAATATCTCTTTTATCTCTTTATGAGTTGAATGTATATTAGCATGCTGAGCCCTGAGTTGTACTGGGGGGGTCTGCTTTTTTCTTCATTTTTTGGGGAGTGAGTCTCCTCTCTATTCCTCTCCTCTGTTCTTATATACCTCACCTTCTGCCTTAGTTTTGGTTTGCCAATGAAACAAACTTAAGTTTTTTTGTTTCTGATAACAGACAATGCTAATTAAAGTTTTTCCTTTTATTTTTGTACGTATGTGCTGTGCACAGCAGTTTATTGTACTCCTGGATACCAATAAAAGTTTTTTTTTTTTTAAATGGCTCTGACTTGTTTTTTGTATGGACAGCGTGTTATCTCCAGATTTAGTACTGATGAAAGGTTTCTGGATCAACTGACATAAAAAACACACTTTCCTTTTCCTTCCTGCTGGTTTGATCATTCCATATATGGTTTGAAAACTTGTGTGTCCAAACATAAGGGTAAAGCCTCCCCTGGAGGTCAGTTCAGTTATCTCTGGCAAACACCAAAGGTTTTTGCTGCTGAAAAACTATATTGATTTTTTTATGTTTATTTATCCTTACCAATAAATGACAGATGATTGACCTCTTTTTAGTTCTCAAATGCAACACAAATTATGTACTTATTCAAATGACTGTGAGCTATTGGTAACATTTTCTAGAAAAAGGTGTGTCATAGGAGTGTCATATTAAGGAAAAGAAACCAATCTCAATTGTAGCCAATTACGTTAGATGCTGAAAGACTTTCAATAGCTTAAATTCTAAAACATACCATACAATTCTTTTTATAGTGTTAAATTAATCATGTTCTTTTTCATTGCTGTTTAGCTTGAAATTGATTAATGGATTCTTTAAAGATCAAACTACTATTAATAACCTGATATTCATATCTTGAGAGTAACACTGAAATAAAATATATTGCTAATCCTCCAGCATCCTATAATAGTTTTCTAGGTTAAATGTGACGTCTCAATTTCTCTGCTGAACTCCTCTGGATGAGGGTGTGTCTCCATCTGCTGGGGAAAAGGGGAACTCTTAAGCTGCGCAGGTGCGTAAAAGCAGCCAACTGCGGCAACTTATAAGTAGATATCCAGTCCATTCAGGTTTGAAATAAGGTGGCATGTTTAAACAAACGCTAAATATCCAACCAGGAACGACAGTTAAAATCATGCCACATACAACAGGCGGAAAACGTAATGAGGGACTAAACCGCAAACGCCTAAAGGCTCGTATCCAAGTGGATGGTTTTATTTTTTCTTTAGTTCTTCAATAAATCGTCCTACGCCGAATTGAAACCTAAACCTGAGCAACATTTGGCAACACTTTAAAGTGGATGAGTTGGGATGTGGAGCCTAAAATAAGAGTCCTGTTTTCTGACCAACAGCATCGGCATAAACAGACAGAGGTGGAATTGGCCCTTCCGCTGCAGCTACCCGCACATCTGCTTTGGGGGCGAGCTGCTTTTTTTTCTTATTTTTTTTTACCCAAAGGATGTGAGCAGGAGTGGCACTCGGGGGGCCTTTAAATAGGAACTGTCACCAAACTTTTACACAACAGAGCATCTGAAAACCTCCAGGAGCTCGCAGCTGAAAAACCGTCGGTTTGACCAAGGATGGACATCAACGGACGACTTGGGATGAGGGACACCGTGCTGGCGCTCCTACTCCTGCAGGGCTTTCATATCGGGGAACCGGCCTCCAACCTGTCCCCGCTGGTCGGATCCAACTGGGGGAACCCGAGGAGATATGTCCACCTGCAGACATCTACAGATCTCAACAACTTCTACTTGGAGATCAGACTGGATGGCACTGTGCGCAAGAGTACAGCTCGATCGTCATATAGTAAGAATGTCATATTTAATTGCCACTGCCATGCCACAAAGATTTTCAAAGCATACGTTGTGAAGTCTGTCTTTTGACATCTGGTGCTAAACGCACGTATTTCTCTCCTGCAGGTGTTATTTTACTGAAAGCTGAAACAAGGGAGCGTGTTGCCATCTTCGGTGTCAAGAGTAACCGCTACCTGTGTATGGATTTGGAGGGGAACCCGTTCAGCTCGGTAGGCAAACGACGGCTTCATTCTAACAATCACTGGCCAATCGATATACGTCCCTGTTCGACTTATTTTTGTCGTAACTCCATTTTACGTTGGTACACAACACTTTCTTCAGAGTACGGTCCAAACCTGCTCTTTCTGAAAAGCGCTGTGAGAAAGCTGTCGTTGGGATTTGGCGCTGTATATATAACATTTAATAGAACATTTACGTACATTACGCACTGGTTTTACGCATTGATTACGCACATGTTCAAATTGGATCTCAGTACCGATTATTTTATTTTTTTATCTATTCATTTTTATCCGAGCTAATTATTGTCAGTCTCAGTTTTAATCGATTCGATAGAGCCTCTGTATTCATCTGTAGCACTATACCGCAGAGCTTTACGCCTAGCTTTTCTCAAAATTCGAATGCTTTTTTTCTTTTAAAACTAAACTTCTTTTCAGGCAATCTCTTTTGTTTATTGAAATCTTGCTGAAACTTAATTTTCACACCTTATCGAGTTATTATTCAGATTATTACATTAACAGATGTGCTTGATCATGAGCAATTTGTTTTTGTTTTTCTAAAGTTGCTCAAACTAACCGGGCTGACGCTAACTTATCCCCTACAGCCCATCTGCCTCAGAGACGACTGTCTGTTCAACCACAAGCTTCTGGAGAACAACCGAGACGTGTACTACTCCACTCGGACGGGCATCCTGTTTAACCTGGAGGGTTCCCGGCAGGTGTACTCAGCGGGCCAGAACCTGCCGCAGACCTCCCTCTTCCTACCCAAAAAGAACACGGTGCCGCTGGAGCGTCTCCTTCTGCACAGAGAGAAGAGGAACCGGGTCGTGGACCCCTCAGACCCGCACAACGTCCTCCTGTGGCAAACGGAGGAGGGCTCCAACTCCCGGGCCGTGCAGGAGGACGACGCGGACCTGGAGGTGGAGGTGGAGGTGGAGGTCGAGGTGGAAGTCGGGGACGACGGGCGCAATGTGTCCGCGGAGACTCAGCTGGCCCCCTCTGCCCATGACCCCTGGAATGTACAATCACCCAGACAGGCAAGCCCCCGGAGCTCCGGGACCATGGGCTGACTGCAGACTGATCAGTCCTTCATATTTAACCTGCTCTGCATACATCCAGATTCACTTCTTAAATTTGAGTAAGACTTGGTTACGAAAAAGTAAAGAAAGGAAAACAGTGTTTCTACACTGAATGTACAACAGTTGACTTGATTTGCAGAATTTCTACTGTCTTAAAAGCTAAAAGCCTGTCAGTTTAGGATAATTGTTAGGGGAGTAAATGAATAACCCTCAAAAAGCATAGGTACACTTTCTTTAGTTGTGATGTTTTCACAGTTTTACAGCTGGTCTGGTTCATTGATCTTTCCTTAAAGACAGCTGCCTAAATTTGCTTACCTCTGGAGAACTTAAGGGCCTGTCTAGTAGAGTGAAATGCACATATGTGCATTGAATTGAAAACATAGTCACTAGAATTAGGATTCATTCTTATCATATAGCCTTTTCTGATCTTAATATAAAGTTTTTAAAACCTAAAGCAGCACTACAAAAAAAAACTTTTCACTGTAAAATCATAATATAGCCTTTATCCATTTTTAAAATGTAATTTGCAAATAACTAACATTCTAATTCACGACTTGAAGGATTATGACAACAGGGTAAATAACCTTTTCAGATCACTAAACTTGATATGAACTCTGATCTCTTGTTATATTACTATCAGGTGCTGGGCACCGCCAGCAGCAAACACAAAAGCCAGTCCCAAGGAGTATTTATTTATTTAAATCCATTCCTTTATTGTTATTTATGGTATTTATAAGGATGCTATACAGTTAAAATGTAAATACACCAAAACATGACATGGGTTTACTTTGAATGTATGAGCTGGAGTTGTTGTGGAAGGAGTGTTGCTTGAATTGGAGACAAAACAAACAAATAAAGGAATTTTGCTCAGTGCTTTTGAGTTTTTTTTCTTTGTTTTTGCCTACTTCCCCAATGCTGTTTGATCAAGGAATTCCTAAATGAGCCAGTCGGCTCAACACCACGTTAGTCGGCAGTCTCTCACATCTCCATCACATCCTGCAGTTTTAGTGTCATGTCAAGGCTCATTTTTACTCTAACAAAGATGATTGAAAATTGTAAATCTTAACATTACTCTTTATGGATTGCAGTCAAAGCTTTTAGCAATATTATACCTACATTTATTATAATAATCATATAACAATCATAAAATCTGATTTTTGTTAAAAGGTAAAAACTGTTTATTTTTTATAAATAATCGTCATTATTCCAAATAAACAGTTTTTACTATAACATTGAGTCATTGATGATGTCATATTGCACAAGTATAATGAGCAGCAAACCACCAACCACAAGGGACACTGTTTGAAATGCTACGCATAGTATCAGTCAAACATTAAATAGTTTAAACTTTGGTATAACACAATCAAAGAGGTCATTAAATGACAATTTTTTTTTCAATCAAGTATGGGCCCATGCTGGGCAACAGTTGTGCGGAAATTATTTTAAAAATAATACCGTGCTGCATAATCATTTGGACTACTGATCCACCGTAAAAGACATGCTGATTATTATGAGAACTCCATTTGCTCTGTGCGTTCAGTTACCACTGAGGTATTTGACTTTCCCTTTCACTTATCATTATGGTTCCACCCTCCGTCAAATGCTCTGCACATACATCTTACATGAACTCCCCCCCTCTTCCTCAACTTTACTCCACAGCTGTGACGTTTTCTAAATGGTCTTTTCTGTTGGTGAAAACACAGCGAGCAGCAGAGAGCACCGGCCCCGACTCGGACCGGCTCAGGGTGAGAATAAAGCGGCTGATGCCCGTGTTGGGGCAGGGTGAGAACAGCTGGGACATCTTGATTCCGGCAGGCAGGGCACACTTTAAGTCTTCCACCAGGTGCCGGATGGCCACCCGAATGTAGGCACCGTGGCTCACCACGAGAGCGTGGAGCGGCACGCCCTGAAGGCCGTCAGTGGCCGAGCAGCCCGGGGCCCCTTCTGCCGCCGCCGCCGCGCCGGCCGCCGGCTCTGCCGAAGAGGCCACGGGTCCTGATGAGCAGTGCTCAGCCAGCATTTGTTTGAAAAGGACTTTGAGAAAAGTTTTGAACCTCAGCTTCACCTGAAAGCAAGGTGACAGTGAAGCTTTGAGATCATGTGTCCTGCACGCGAGGAAGTTTGAGAAGCAAACTGAATGCAGAGCTCTCAGATTTCTTTCTAAAACTGTTTCATAGAGTCTGTTAAGAAGTTGGAACCGATATGATCACAACATTAACAAACAAAAAGAATCCCTGTAATTCTCAATGTTAGGGGGTTTCACTTCATCCAGACTTTGCTACCTCATACGGATACGTTTTATGGCCTCAAACCACCTCGGATCCCTGTAATTACTCTGGCAAACCACAAATCATGAGCCGGGTTCCAGCTAGCAGGTGTCACTGAGCGCCTCTACACAGCAACGCTGAACGTCTGTAAGCTCTTGCTCCCACATCACAATGATATGGGAGGAACTGCCAGAAACTCTGATTGAATGCGTGTTTGTGTGCTTATAAAATTACATTTTAGGCCAAAATAACAGCAGATAGCAAAAGAAACTGTTTAAGCAGTTTTTGTCCTGTTGATTTAATGTGACAACTACTGGGACAAATAGGATTGTTCAAGTTTTTCACCATTATGCTAGACCTTTGAAGTGCTCTTAAAGCGTAATGTATCTTTGTATTGCAATGCTCAAATATGTCCATAGTGTGGCGCCATTTTACAAGAAATATATTTTCAGATGAACAGGAACTGATTTCTTATTTCTAAAAGCACATGTGACCATTCAGAAACGAACGCTGACTCCTGCTGACTCACCTGGTCTAGCGTCTCTCCTCCAGGTGGTGTGTAGTCACGGCATGACTGACCAGCAGCATTGGCCATGTTCTTCAGATCCTCTTTGTGGCGCCCTTCAGCAATGCCAAAACCCTGCGTCAGCCGACAAGTGTCTCAAAGCACAGAAACAGCAACAGCAACGCAGCATGTGCAGCATTGGCACCTAAAAGTGGCGCAAGGGAAACTCATCTTACCCGTTCTCTGAGTAATGGCTCCAAAATCATATCCATGCCAGAGCAGTGAGTGTTGGTCCTCAGAATTATTTCAGCTGTCTGGTGGGGGAATTGTAATCTGGAAATTACTTACTCAATCCATTTGCAAGTGCCAAAAAAGTTGGTCATGGGCAAAAACTAGACTCATAAGTGTACTGTAACCACCACTGAGTCAAGGGCCGCAGAGACATGACCACTCACACATACATCCTGTTTTTCCTCTAGTTTAGAAACAGGTGATATTTTACTTGTAAGGTTTCACATGATGGGACATTAGTAAGAGGACTTCAGTCATTTCCCATTAATAAGGCTCCAGAAAAGCCCCAAAGGTCTGAAGAATAGTAACAAAAATTTGCCAATAGCCTACAATACTGATGGTAAGAGTTTCAGACTCAGGTAAATATGTTCACTTAATAAATCTACACAAAATTCTTGTTTCCACTTTTGTGTAAGAAAGAGCCCACGTTCAGGGCTGGTTGCAATAGATTAGCTCTCTCACAAGTCTATATGTTGAGCACGCTTGATATAAAAAAATGATCAACTAACCTCCAGGTGTTTTCTTTTATTTGCTTAATCTTCCCCACTAATTACCCAACTTGAAAAGACCAAACTTTTTTGTTGCATCTTGTTTAGGTTAATGATTTCTTGAAGATTCACTAAAGATATTAATTGAATGTGAGGAGCCTTTTTTGTAAGCAGCTGCCCACCGTAGTTTTTGACATCACTCTATAAGATGCAGATACTGTATTGCTTGGGATTTACACTATTAATCAAAGTGAAATCAATCCAATGTGCTGGAAAGAAGTGGAATGGTTGCTCTGGAACAGGCAGTAAAATACCACTGTAACTGTTTAGCATGTCTCTTCTGACATGATCAAATAAGCTTAGCTTGGCTACTTGGGAAAGACATAATAAAAGGATCAATTAATTTTTTATTTGTTTTTGGTAATATTTTCATACGATTTGTAAATAGTACAGATCAGGCACAAAGCAGATGATATTACTTTCACATAATCCTTATGAGATGTGCACTCCTGATTTATTTCGTTAAAATAATACAATTGTTCCAGTCAACAGGAATGGACATATGTGTCTCTTACCTGCACAGCCCTCTGTAGATTACTGACATAGACTTTGCTGAAAATGATGTCCTTGAGGTACTGTCCAACAGCTTCTCCCTGCTGCACACCTGTCTCCGACAGGAGTGTGTCCACTCCCTGACCTTAAAATGCAGGGTTTTCATACTGAGCAGGGTTAAGTCTGCATCTCTAACTCAGAAAACACATATTCCACATCAACGAACACAGTCAAGTGTAACAGGGAATCCCTGCATCTCAGAGCCGTGTCATTAAATGCATACAATTTTCAGCGTTCCCGTACAGGCACAACTCTTTTTTAACGTGGCTTCTTATTTCAAACAGTCTTGTCAGACTTTTCTTTTGCCATTTTAAAGATAAAGTTGATCATATTTGAAGTTACCTTGCAGCAGCTTTTCTCTGTTGTATTGTGTCTCCCCACTGTGTGGAAAAACAAAAACAGTCATTGAATTCAACTGGTCTGTTTTCACACCAACCATAACGCAATTATTTAGCCCTGGAGTAAACAGCTGTGCAAGCCACAATTAAATTAATGACTTGTTTTATTTTGCCCTCGCTAATTTGGCTGCATGGACACATACTGACTGCCTGTTTGACAAAAAACTGATAGAATCATGTCTCTTTAAAGATGCAGCCTTTATAAAATAACGCCTTGAGGTGAAATGAGCCACTAAACTGTCACTTACTGTCGTATAAGCGTTAAGCTGAACGTAAACATTTTCCGCAGTACCTCTCAGACTATTTCCGGGTTGTCTCTCTAGCCGGCGCTGGATTGTGTTGTATGCAGTCACGTGATGCAACGTACTGCGTCATGACGTTTGCCCATGTATCTACGCTTTTCAAAGAAGTACACAATATCTTTAAGTTGTCAAAAGATCATTTGAGGTACACTTTTTCAAATATCTTTATGACAGAAGCTATTACTGCCTTGTATTATACAACAATAATAATTCCGTGTAAACATTTTTCATTTCCATTTTAACCATTCTATTATTGTTATAATCATTTATTTGATTTCTGTGAACCCACAATACTATTTGCCTCCAGACTTCTCCAGTTTGTCAAGATTATATAGAACATATTTCAGTCTGAAAACATTGTAAATTGATTCCTTGTACAGTAGAAAATAAACATAAGCGAGAAAAATCTTTCTGCTTCATGCTTCAAAATCCAAATTGTGAAAGAGCAGGTGACATATTGGATAATGCGTCACATTTAAAGCTGTACTTAACAAAAAATTAACTTATTTTCAAAAAATGTATTTCAATTTCCTGCATTCCTCAATTTTTAAGACTACCACAATGCAATTCTTAAAATACAATTTTTGAATATAACAGACAAATAAACCTAAAACCTTAAATAAATAAACCTTTAAACATAATATATTATTAATATCAGTACCTTGTGCTACTTTTTTGTATCGTATCAATTTACAATAGTTTTTAATTGACTTGTCAAAGTTGCAAGTGGTCTAAGCTGTTGGGTCTCTGAAAATATGGAACAAAGATATGTAAAGAAAAAAATAACACACACCATGATTGTAGCCAATTTATTGACAAATTGTTGAGGTACACCATGTGGCTGCACAAGGGGCATGGAGTTTTGAGTGACAACCACATTGAACAATAGTAAAACTGAGTAAAGTGGTACCTCAAAAACAAAACACTCAATTTGACTTAATTGAATTGATTCAAACATGTCGAAGTAATCCAAATAGGAAACTTTTTTTTGTCTTTCTGTTACATGTATAGCATACAGTATAGGATGTTTTGACATAGCACCAGTTATAAGAAATAACCTATTTTAAAGTAGGCTGCAGGCACTTTTAACTTATCAGTGGAATCTGGCAGCTGATGTTTAACATCCAGGCAGAAAAGTGAAACCCGTCCAACAAATCAGGAGTGAAAACAACGTGTGATGTGAAGTGTGATGAGGTAACGGTGAGATGGGCTCTCGCTCTATTCATCCAATTTAATTATCCTGAGGTACATAAAGAAGCAGCAAGAATATGATGGAAGAAGAACAGAGATACAATTAAAACAATAAAGGAATAAAACATGCTAATCAAAGAGTTCTGCAAACACAAGTACTTCCAGTCCCGCATCAAACTGTTACTTTCCCTCTGGTACATATACGAGAGAAAAGCAGACTTGTTACATATTATAAATCTCATAATATAGCAGCACACGTGAATGACGAGAAGGCTTTTTTGTGTAAGACTAGGAAAGGAAAGCATAATAGCAGCAAGAGATTGGTGAAAAACCTATCTTTCTTACTTTGGAAATCTCTTTCGATTACAAGCAGAACATTTAAAAGCATTTTTCAGTTTAAAGCACTATTTTTTTTTTTTTTGGGAAAAACAAACATTGGCTTTTTTGCACAATCAAACATGCATGAATACAATTTAGAAACGACAATTGTGTTCTTAAATGTAATGTGGATTTCAAGCATTTTTGTTCATTGACAAATTGGTTATATACATGTGTAAAACTCCCACAAAAGCTTTAAAACTACAGTTCAAAAAACAATATACATACATAGAACAAAATAGGAACACGTATATTCAGGGGTGTGTGTAACTCTTTGAATGGACTATTGGAGGGGGTCACTATAAATCTAAATGTTGGGAAAAAAATTCAAGTTTAGGGTCAAATCAATGCAGTAAAGTCTACATGTGGCTTAGATCGCCTTGGTTTCTAAACTACTACAATGAATATCCTATGTCTATTACTGGTCGAGGCATAGCTTTCAAGACAACATGCATTACCCCATGGGAATCCAGCCCAGAAAAAAACAAAAACAAATAACTTAAAGAAAAGCTAGGAAAAAAATGCCACCCCCGAAATAATAAAAATCTGAACTTGCCTTAACTACAATCCCCTTACCAATCTTAAGGAGTGTGTTTTAAAAGTGCATCAACATTGTTTCAAGGCCCCCTTTTCTATAAAAAAGATAAATGTAATAATTGTTAACTAGAGAATCTGCAGCAGACATAAATCCTATCTTGACCACCATCAGGGGTCATTTTTTCTCCAATGAGTCTCTCTCATCATTGTGCAACTGCAGGAACATCATAAAGCTTAAAGTTAACTGTTGTAAGCCAACGATCACCAACACAAGACAGTTTTGTTTTCAATCACTTTCAACATGCTTTCTATTCCCCAAAACCTCTCCGTCCTCCAACTTCTTTTACCACTGAAACTTGTAAAAACTTTCCGAAACTCCTTTTCTTAAATCTAAAAACGTGGCATTAGGCTAACTGGCTGAGCCTGAAAGTCCCTTCCAAACAAACCAATGAACACTCAACTTTCAAAATGTACTGTAAGGTGTGTGACTGACACAGCACAGGAACATTCGCTGAATTAAAATACATCTCCACACGGTCCTTTTAATACTCCTGTCAAGGATTAGCATTGGAATCAAGAGCTTCGCAGCCCTTGCTTCGCACCTCTGACTGGTTTCATGTCATTCCTCTGTGAGCAGGCCCAGCCCACCCTGAGCCAGCACTTCTGCATAAATAGTAAGCTGTGCGACCTGTATACAGTATTATAAACAGAGCTGCTAGCTACCGTAGCACTCTCCTGGCTGTATATTAGATTGGTTTAAATGCCATGTACTGTATATTTAGCATTTCAATCACTGCCATTCGGATTTCCTGCACAAGAAAATCCCATTAAAAGCATAAATTGATAATTTCTCACTAGAGATGGTTAAAGAGTAAGTAAATGCTAACTAAATATACATCACTTAATATTTTTTGCTAAACTGTATCAGAAGAATAATGTATATTTCATATAACTATGTAATTTTCCTTTCAAGTATGAACATATTTTCAGGTTTCCATAAAGGGAACCTAAGGCACTATATCAAGTTTTCAAGAATTAACTGTTCTTTTAAATATCTTGTTCGATTACATGTCGCCTCTGCAGAAGGTGAAAATGCACCCTTGCAGGCATAAATGAGGGGGGGGGAAAGAGAGAAAAACTACAAATTTCTTAGTTTCTAAAAGTTCATGGATTGCCACACAATCAGTGGAGAGGCAGCGTGACATAGCTACTGGCAGCTTACGCGCCCCCCCTCACTCGCATCAGTTCATTGGTAGGGCAGGCACGAGTGTTGTGCGAGTCAGGTGGCGACGGGAGTTCATAAGTTGACATCACGCACATCTGTGGGGGTGCTGGACTGGTCTTGCTGCTCCCTCGCCTTGTTGCCGGCCCTGATGCCAGCCTCCTGCCGGTACTGCTGGCCCTGCTGCAGGCTGGAGGCCAGCACACGCTCAATTTGCTCCTGGCACGCCCTCAAACAATCCTAGCATTAAAAAAAAAAAAAAGTGTCAGCAGTGCTTAAACATACACACTTCCATCAAACTTATTTGCTGCCTAAGAAGGGTAATCCTCTCCTGTCCAGATTAATTTTCTTAACTTTCAAATACTTTTTACATACTGATTTCAGCTTGTTTTTTTTCTATAATTTTGTTGCAAATAAATCAAAGACAAGTATACATGGCATCAATAAAAATGAACAAGTCATTCATAATTAACACTTAAAAGCTTATTCGTTAAAGGTTACCAAAAGGTTGCAATATAAATTCCACTACAAATATGGAAAACCATATCAAATAGTGATCACATTTTATTTCGCCTTTTACAGTGGCGTTTCAATAGTTCAGAAGGTGTTTTGGATTAGATAAACTCCGCTCTGTTTGCAAGGATGAAGCGACGAACCCCATGGTGTTCAATCTGAACACCTGAATGCAGACACTTGAGCAAAACACTGGTCTTTCTGCTCCAATTTTACATGCAGGTTGTTAAACAGCTTTGGTCACATGCCTGGAATACCAGCAGGGACTTATGGGTCTTGAGGTAGGTGGTCCAGTCTGCTTCATGATCAGAACAATGAGTACCAGCACACCACAGATCTGAGGGTTGCATTGTGGGAAGTTGAACCCTCTCTGTGGCACAGGTGAAGCACCGAGGCAGAGAGTCAGCGTCCCTGAAGGAGCTCTGGGGGTCCGTCAGACAACAGATGCGCAGATCTAAAACTCGGCTCTGCTTTCCTCCATCCCCCATTTGAGTTAACAGCACGGTCAGTCCCACGTGACAGTCTAGAGGAAATGGCTTTGACCTACTGCCCCCTGACCCTGTGAGTTTGGGTGTAAAAACAGAATGCAGGACAGTGGGACCGGATGTTTTTAAACAACTTCTTCTTATGAGAGGGGATTGTTTCCTGTCTCTGTCCCTCCTGTGGGTCTGTGTTGAAAATGTGGGAGGTCTGCCTCCATGAGACGTCAGCAGGACCCTTAAAGAATGAGCTGAAGCTCGCAAAGAGGCCAACATTCCTTTAAAATGTACAAATAATTGGAACCCGATGGGCTGCAGTTGGGGGCGCTTGTTGTGACGGCAGCGTTGCAGGCCCACGTCACCATGGTAACGTAACCACAAGCTACGAGGCAACAGTGATTGGATTTCTGCACTCAATCGTTGATGTCTATTGCAGGATATTGTTCGAACACAAGGTGTGCGGAGATGACTTTCTGGAGAGCGGGACTGCTGTGCAGCTGGAAGACTACAGGTTTATTAACGAATGGGTCTCAGTCCACCATTTCAGTTTACAGTGTGGTAAACAGTTTTCAGCCTATGATCATTTTGTATGTGCAACAGAGGACCTCTGGATATCTTTATGACTAATATTGGAATTTCAAAAGTTCTGTGTGACGTCCCTCCCCTTAAATCCAACGAGCCCCTTTAGTTTTTTCAAATTTTTTCCAAAACCCACCGGAAGCTGGTCTGATGGGAGTTCTGACTACTTACTCTATCCTCATATCCGTTTTGTCAGGAGAAGATGGGCCTCGCTTTGAATGCAAACATATTCCTCCACCAGGAGGGGCAACGCAGCAGAAGTGAAAGCCATGCGAAGAAATTGCATGTGTCCTACCACAAGAATGTGGGCTCTGAGTTTTAAGAAGACATTCCCTCCGCCGCTGCTCTTTATAGCAGCAGTCTGAGTCTCCAGCCAAGAACAAAAAAGCTTGCTCTCCCTCACTCCATGAAAAGTAAATTGCTTCAGTCTGCCACTACTGAAGTCATCGCTGTTGTTTACTAAAGAGCCTTTGTGCTGCTGGCGTGAGATGCTGCAATGATACCTCCTAACAATGCATTGTTGTGGGGCTAAGACTATTGAGTGATTCCTTCTAGCAAGTGTGACACTCACCACCTCAGTGTTGGTGATCTTGGCCAGCAGGTCTGTCAGGTTTTCTCCACTCAGCCTCTGGTCACTGTGGTCAAGCTGCAGGCCACAGATCGCAGCTCCCATGCTGCCGGTGGCAATCATTGAAGGAGGGTTCATGGCGAGGCTGTCGTCTGGTGAGATACGGCAATTAACGTGCAATCAGTTAAGCAGCAGTTTTCAGGCCACGCTGACACACTGAAATCACATTTTTAACTATGACGGGGGGGACGTCAGCCCAGAGGAAGAATGCAGAATGCATGACAAGTAAAACCATCTGAATCGTGGCTCAACAGCTAAACCTGATTTTCCCACAGTCTGGATTTCAACAGACATAGTTGCATGGTGGAACCTGTGTGGTTTCCTTCTTAGAAACGTCAGCTCCGATTACAAAAGCAGAGTAGGAATCCTCCTACTCACTGAGCAATGAGCTCTGGGCACAACTCCCCAGAGTCCATATCCAAGTCAAAACGACTTAAACGACTACAGGCCAGAATGGAGGAGGCGGAAGAGGAGGCAGTCATAAAAAGCTGAAAAAGGGAAAACCAGCAGACGTGCTGAACTGATTTAAACCAAAAGCTATTTTACTTTTCTGCTACTTGTTAAAGTTTCTTACTTGACCACTAATAGTCTCTTTCATTGAGAGCAACACAGACAGCACGCTTCTTCAGAGCTGCCTATCAAGTCGTCTAACAGCACAATTTCTGAACCTGACACCCTGAATTCAAACCAGCTTCATACAGTGATTGGCTGGCTATGCCTTCTAGGAGCGCTTCATGAAATGGTTTGCTACTATTAACCAAATTAAATCAGATTGTGACTTTCTCTCTCCCTTTAGCTTTGTTTCCATCTTTTTCAATATTGTTATTCTGGTTTCCATTTTATCAAAATCTGATTTTAAATAATTATTATATTTTCACATGATTAAAGAAATCTGCTTTATTTCCTGCAGTCGTCCTCCCAGGATCTACGCACATGTACATGACAAGAAATTGTCATAGGCCTGGGAAAAGCTGAGTGTTTTGCATTTTCCAAACAAAATGCAAGGCAATCCCGGTGGCCTTATAGCTTTGATTAGGCCGTAGCGAAGAGCCTGCTTCACAAAACCCATCCTCTCCTCAAGGGAGCAGCTGTCCATAGGAGGAGCTTTCCTTCATTATAAGAATAACATCTCAACTCCATTTAAAACTCCAAACATTTACATTACTGCAAAACCGCAGCAGGCCTCTTTTCTTCCACCACTGCGGCTGCTTTGTGCTTGGGTATAAGCAGCTGTTTATGAATAGCACAAGCAACCACTGAAACACACCCAAATATATATATAAAAAGTCACACTAAAATTGTCCTAAATGTAGTATAAAACCCATAGAAGGAGCCTATGGTTTCAATAACTAGCTCCAGTAAACACGCTCTGATTGCAAGATGTGACCCAACTGACATTTGGGAGGAATTCCATCGCACCAAAGTGACCTCCTTTGTTTTATGTCCTTCATTGAATTAGCTAAAAGAAGTTAGGAGATGAAAGGGAACCTTGTGACAGAGTCGTGTTTATTACGTGTCTTAGGTGACCCTGCAGTAGTATTTCTGTCCAGGATATGAAAATATTAGAGGGATTCCTGGTATATGAAAAGGAATGCCCTGAAAATGCACCAAAGAGAGAGGCCTAAGGGGACATGAGTGTTTTCCAGAGACTCCAGAGTTTATTTTGGACATGAGGCCAGGATGGGAGGAGGAAGGAAGATCACTGGATCACTGCCCTGAACTTTTTAAACCTGGAAGCTTCCATGTCCACAAACAACTCGGAGCAAGTAGCCCTTGAGCTCAGCTGCACCTGAGTTGTTTAGCAGTCCGGATATACTGGAGCACAACCATAAGTACAATACAATGATTACAAGTGTGCACGCTCCATCTAAACATAGCACTGATAGGAGTTTTCCCAGGCATTTGGCTGGGGAAAGTCGATGGGCACTTTCAGCAACATTTAGCAGCTGGAAGGGGAAAAGAAAAAAAAGAAAAAAAGACAAGAAAGTGGATAAAACAGCCTGTCGAGAAGAAGGAGGTCACAGATGACTCATGCTGAGAGAATGTTTGTGTGTGGGAATATCCTGGTAGATGAAGAAATAAAGAGCCAGTAAAACCGAGCGTGTGAGTGCGCAAACAGAAAAAGGTGCACGCCAAACGATGTGTGGCTGAGTTACCTGTGGCGCAGAGGGCGATGAACGTCTGCGTGTGTTTGCGCACCATTGGCAGCTTTTCTTTGGGAAGGGGCACCCTGCGCATGATGTGCTCTATAAAATCATTGGGGATGACCGCAGCCATGTTCCACTTCAACTTCCCCAGCACAACCAGTTCCCAGTCCTAAAGCACAGAGGGGATGATAAAAAGAAAAAGCATCAGCCGGCTCAAGAAGCCATGAATCCTAGCTGAATCTGCCCAGTAAGGGGGTTAAAATGGCGTGCTGCCATGCCTTCATTGACCGTGAAAAAGATCAGTCTGTCCCTATTCCCAGAGGAAATAGCTCAGTAAGAAGAGTAACATTTCTTAATTTTATCTCTCCTCACTGTATCTTATTATCTGCGTGCCTTTCTCATTCCTCGCATCCTTTGTGTTCATATCGCCGGCATGTGACAAGCATTGCCCCGCTCAAAGCCTATGAGACAGCAAGCCCTTTCCTTCCTGTCACAAGCCTCAAAAAGCTACAATGAGTTTGCAATGCACAGGCAGCAGCACTCTTTATAAACTCAGCCTTTGCACCAGCAAGAAAAAGAAAAAAAAGATACACGCAGCTCCGGTTGTCATTTTTTTGCCCTCTCTCCTTATGTTCAGAACACACAAGCCGGCTTGTTTTAATAGTTTATGGTCTAGCTTTTGGCATTTTGAAGTAACATCTATACAGGTGTGGTTTCTATATATACGACTTCAATATTTAAGACATATATAGGAAAAGAAACAGCTGCCATTATTTGTGACAAGTTGATCAAACTCTCAGCAAAACCAAAGATCACAGCAGTCTTTGGAGTATTTTGGTTTCATTACACAAAAGCAAAGTTTAGGTGAGGCATCATTAAGTCTCAGGAAAAGCAAACTAATCAATGGTTTGTGCTGGCGGCTAGCATCTCCATTGACTGTCTTTTACAAATTACCACCACAAACTTTACATATTCTCACATGTCCAGTTGCTGCTCAAAGTTTTGACCCCCATGTCCGACAGTACCACAATAATCCGTTTAAATGCAAAACATGTGAGGACTGAGTAACTAAAAAAATCTTGACCGTCTTTCTGCTTAAATGAGTTACATGACATCGACTTAAATAGTTCTTCAAAGTAATCCTTAAGTGAAAATGTCAAATAAAAATTAGTCAATCCTGCTGGAGTCACTTCAGATTGGTTACCATTAAGAGAAACTAGTTGTCTTGTATATTAGATGTATGGGGGGGGGGGGTTGTCCACCTCCTTCATAACCCACTATGTCTCCATCAGTATCTTGGTCATTGATTTTCAAACCTCACAGTGGCACGTCTAGAACACTTTAATATCTAATATTTAATTCCTATATTTCAAAAACATTCCATCGGTGTGGCAAAAAAGATCACTTCTCAGACAGGAATGACAAACATGTTGACATCAAGTCAAGTTTGCGCTCCACGTGCATGTGTCCATAGACTGTGCTGTGATTACCCCGTCAGTCCAACTACCCACTGCAGGAATAGGACAGTGTAAACACTCAATATATAGAACTAATAGAGTGAGAGTTATAAGCACTCAAACTAAAAAAAGAATCTTATAAAAAATGTGGTGTGGTGCATCTTCCAAACTCAGCGACATGAAGTTAAAGATCTTGATGGCACACAAATAGGAAATTAATTATTTTTACTTTTGGGGGTTGATACTACACTAATATTATACTTATTATACTATTGAAAAAGAATAATATGATCTATCATTTACTCTATGGCAAGGTGTCATCTAACACTAGTAGGCCCTGAAACTGGGAAGGGAGAGTCCCAAGTCACCAAATAGGTCTTAGTCATCCAAAATATCAGTCATCGTTCACATTTGTGCGGGTTTCAGGCTCATACTCTGCTACCAACGGGACTGTGCTACACATGGTTAAACCTGAGTGGAAATCAGTGACTGTGAGATGAGCAGGCCAAAGGTTTGCTGTCGGTGCGCTCACTTCCTGGACATCCGCCCCCTGTTAAAACACTTTTCCTCCAGCTGAAACACACTCAGAACAAGAAACAGCTCCGACATCTTTCACTGACTCTTGCTGCCTGCTCTGTGCATCCTGTGAGGATGTCCAGTAATGTGGAAGTTTGGGACAATACAGAATATGTAATAGGATGAATGTCTTTTTCCTCAACAGCTGCAGGAGACCCATCGGTATACAAAGCAGTGATAACATTTATTTCGTATTTTCAGGAATTAATTATTTTTCTTTATGGTTGCAAATAACTGTTTCAACAAAGCATAAGAAAATAACGAAAAGTAACAGCTCTACATGGTTATTTTTAGTTTTTTCTGATGAGGAGTATGTGACACCATCAAAAACCTAAGAAGAATAATGCCTGTTGACAATTGAGAATGGCCAGCTCAGCTCACTGGAATCTGTTAAGATAACTTTGGCTTTGATGCTTTTGCAAGAAAACAAACAAAAACTGAAAATAATCAGGATACCCCAATTTTGGTCTTTGTGATGATTGATGCAATGGTGTGATAAGTTCTTACATATCAGCCTTTATCCAGATATAGTATTTTATAATTAAACTAATCTTTCTGACTTCAAAGAAGCTCCAGTGTTGTTCCCCACAAATAAATATAACTAAAAATAGATGTATCTGTTTCTTGACATGAATATGTACATGGGAGTAAGACTAAAGCCCTTCTATATTTGATTATGAGTTTTAAAAATGTATGTGGAGCAAGAAAACCTAAATACTGCATTACTGGCACTAGATGGCATCACACTTCTCATCCGTCCACATGGATCAAGAGCGCGGATGTGCCTGTGCTGTCCACAGCTCCATTTATAAAGAAAATGGGACACTTCCTGTGAGACTAATTCGGCTATTAGCCTTATAAAACCATTCAAAAATATGACAAGACATTTTTTATGCGCTCATGAGTGAATGAATGAATGAACGAATAGGACTTTTGAAATCCTATTTCTTACCAGCAGTTCCCGTGGTGTGATGGAGTTGTCTGTGTACATGCAGAGTTTTTCCGCTGATAGCGGCCGGCAGTCTTTTAACTTGGAGGCCAAGAATATGCACACAGCTCCCAGAAGCTGCAAATAGCTCTTTCTTGTGGGCATCACTGTTAAAAATCTATCCAAATAATTAATGGCTAAAGGGAAAACATCTTCATTAGTCTTCTCCTCTTCACACACCTGGAAAAACAAAGGAATTTAACAAGGAAAGGGCTTGTTAGGATACACAGAGGGAATAAACAAAGAAAGCCACATCTATATAGAACGGAGCAAGATATGATGAAAACGAGATTGTTCAATGTAGAGCTTGAAAGTTGACCCCTGTTGGTAAAGGTTCAATCGTGATTTTAAAGCCCCTTTAGTACATGAAAGACTGAAAATTCAAGCCAAAGCAGACACAAATTAGTTCAATGGGAAGTGGTACAGCAACCCCCCACGCATTTCAACTCGTCTTCCTCATTGGGCTTTGCCTTAAAAAGGATCTCCATTCATGAATCTTCTAAACACTTTTTGTTGCATTATTCCAATAAAAACGTTTTCCGATTAAAGCAAAAAAAGTTTGCCAACTAAAGTGGGGTTTTCAATCCCTGAAAATGAAAGCAGCTCTACATTCAAGGCGCCTGCCTGTGCTTTGAGTTTGAGTCACTTAAAAAAATTAATAATAATTATTGTAAAGGGAAAATGTCGGGTTTTCGATCATGTAAATTAAGAATACGTCCCCCACTTCCACTTGAGACGGCTAATTAGCCAAACGTGCCAACACTGTAAACCAATGTAAATAACTAGCTAGGCTATTTCTTTGAAGCTGTATTTTCATCGTGGTGGAATTTCCGACTCCCCCACGCCTTTGGTGAGTCATTCTTATACAATTGTCAGCAAGGTTTATATCTATGACAGGCTTCCATGAACTAAAACACTAGTTTATAAAATAAATGAGCTTGAATATAGACGTTACCGTGCAAAAAAAAGTCACATACTAGCTAAAAGCGTTAAGTTAGCCCTTCAATGCAGAAAGTCTCTACAAACCTCGTGCATCCAACCTGCAATCATCCGTCTCATATAAGGCTGAATATCCTTCTGGACCCGTTGGAAATATGAACATTGAGGTAAAAACCTTTCCTCAATTGTTAATAAACTCTGCAAAACTCTGTCATCATAGAGGATGTTTGGGTCAAGCTGGGCTTGCACGGCTAAGTCCGACTCCAGGCAATAAAGCTCCATGACTCGGGCCCCTGCTTCCCCACCTTTTCAATAATTTTGTCACTAAATAATTAAAATAATAAAATAAATATTTTCACAATAGCTTCATGAGCGGACAGGAGGAGCAGTGATCCTCAAGACGAAGCATGAGGCTGAGACAACGTTTGCTCCAGTCCTGCTGCCGCTTGGTTCTGCTTCTTCCTCCAGAGAGGCTGCTGACAAAGCAGCGACACGGAAACGGAACTTCCGGCTGCCTTCACAATAAAGCCGACGTTTTTACTGACAGAAACGCCGGTGACGTTTCACAAAATGTCTAAAAACTGCTTGTCACGTAGACTAGAGAGAACAGAAAATCGAAAATGTCTCATTTTTAAAACAAAAAAATAAATAAACAAAAAATAAATTAAAGAAGCCTCTACATTAGCTACTAAAAATGTTGGCTGGATCTTCAAGGAAGCGCAGCTAGACAAAAAAAATGGCAGCTTTTCAACTTTAGCCACACTTTAAGTATATTCAAATGTGCAGCTTTGCATGTAGATTCCAACATGAGATCTTTTGATAAAACAGAATACCTCAGACAAAATGCATGTGAATGTTCATGGTCTTAAATAGCAAATTTGTAGGCTTGATTCAATTCGTCAAAGCAATATATACCTCATTGAAGCAGAAAGTCTTAACTCATGTAATAGTCAGTTTTATACTTTTATACCCCCGATATCCAAATCAAACGGTTACTTTTCTACCAGCAGATACATAGCTGCTCCGTGTGAATGCATTAACTTGCTAACATGAAGCTTATAGCACTTAAATCCTTGAGAACAGTCTCCTTTTCCTTTTTTGACACAACTTTACAGTCTTAAAGTCTAGTCCCAGTGCTTCCTGAAAAGCAGCAGTGCATGAGAAGCAGAGTCCTGGTGCTGACATCCTTTTGGCAAACGGTGTAGATGGCATGTTGGTCTCTTTTCAGATAAAGGTTTTCCATAAAGGAAGTCCTCTAGCATGGTGGCTTGCATGGAGATATTCATACAAATCTGTAGAGACTCCTAAAAGTGTTTTTTATTTTTGTCCTTTGAAGGCAGGATCTACTTCTATGTAAGATGGTGCTGTAATGGAGAAGGAAGTCATGAGGTTTTCAACTTCCTGTCTTATTTCTGAAGGCCATTTCATTTGTGTATGTTTGTCATGTCTGAGTATAATTCTCATTTGAGACATCCTTAGATTAATAAAACTTGTTTGAAAGAAATGTATACTCTGAAGTGTTTTTTTCTGTTACAGCTAACTTTAAGTCTAAATAAATGAGAGGAACTGAAATGAGTCACTTCACAAACTTCCTCTTTCATAGTCGCCATCAAATAGCTGAATGAGATATGGTGTTTCATTGAGAAAAAATAGAGTACTGTGGAGCTATTATGAGAGCAGACTGTGAAGTGAGAGTGGGAACTGTTTCTGAGGGAATGTCAAGGTTAGCCAGATTAGTTCTGCTTCAAAAGAAGTGGTGCATGTTTGAGAAGTTTCATCTTAGAATTGAGATTTCATGTTGGGTTATCCAGTTATCTATGTGTGGAGAGGCTGACAAATCCCTGGGTCAAAGTTTTTGTCCAAAGGAGGTATACGGTGGGGGTGGGGGGTCACTTCAAGACTTCAAGAAGCCAAAGAAGCCTGCTATTCCAGCCAGTCAAATTCTGACACTTGAGGGAAGCTAGGGTGTTAGACAGATAAAGCAGCCTTGCTCTGATGCTGCTGTTTGTGCATGCGTCCTATGATAACAGATGTCAGCCGCTATCACACACTACAGGCTGCACAGAGGTAACAGAGAGTGGCCAAAGCCCTGGGAAAACGTGGAGGAGCGTGAAATCACCTTGATCCAAAGATTCCTGCTGCATACCAGTCTACTGAACCCACCAGAGCACAGGGGCCCGCAGATGGGCAGACTGCCACAGATCAAGAGAAAGAGACAATGGATGAGAGAAAAGGTGGAGGCTGATAGTCAAAATCTTTAATCCTGGAGTTTGGTTTAAAGCTTAAAGTCATCTTCTGCATTTCCTGTGTAAGATCAAGTAAGTCGCTCCATGAGGGAGGCCTCTTTTAGATATAAACAGAGGATTTACTTTTACATGCCAATCTCAGAGCCAAACTTGATTACAGGTTGCCCATGTGCTCTGAGTCAAGCTGGCTGTTTAGGTTTACTGACAGTAGAGAGGAGATGCTATGGCTGGAATGCTGTGGTGTGAACAGTGGTGAACACTCCTCCCAGTGCTGACTGATAGCTGGTGCTGCTCAGCCAGGAGCGGAGATAAAGTGGCTTTTGTCTGTCACATGGTTGCATACTATATGCTTTCACATCAAATGATTTCTACCACACTGGAAGTAGGCCAAACACCAGATTCGATGCATAAAGAGTCGGCAACATTCATTTTTACTCACATGTTCTTGCTTTTTCACACGCTATTCTGGTCATGTTATCAGCAGAATGGGGCATGTTTCTATCAGGAGTGTCACACATAAAAGCTGTCTTATCTCTGGCACTTTCTGTAGAGTGGATAAATGAGAGAGAAGGCGCTTTCCAGGAGAACTCCAGCAAAGCATGTAGGAGAAATAAGCTTCCAACAATTGCCACGGTTCTCTTTACCATCATCTTATAATTATATTTTCTGATTGCATAAATTCTGTTTTCCTAATGCCTGAGTAACTCCCACCATCAATCCTTCCGATGTGATAGGAAAATGTGGTGCACCCAGCTAATTTGCACTTAACTGCGCAGAAAGATTAGAAAACAAATGGAAGGTCGTTAATTCAGCGCAGGAAGAAGAGGGTGTTTCCCCCACTGTGTCTCTGGAATGTTTTGGCTAAACTGAAAGCCATCATTCAAACTCAAATGCCAACATTTGAGAAGACAATGACGAGACAGATAGCAACATCCGGGCCTGGTTTAAGTCGTTAGCACAAGAGGGTTTCTATTCTGCAGTTTGGGCCTCAGTCACTGCTGAATCTCCCCCTCCTTTATTACGTCTGTGTACACGTCTGACGTCCGGCAGCTTGCATCCCTCACTCCTACCAGAGCCTCTGAGAACATTACCCCTTTCTCCAGCTTGAACTCAAGAGAAATAGCAGACAGATGAGGGGAGAGGAGGAGTACATTTTAAACAAAAGAGGGTCTATAAAGTGCAGTACAGAGATTTGCACAGCAAGATGTTTAACTCTACAATAAAGAATACTTTAAGGGGCCAGTCATAATTTCAACGTTGAGGCAAAAGATTGGATGAGACGTTTCCGCGTGGAACATGATGATCGCACTAATTTAGCTCATGAAGATGTATTCAAGGAATTTCTTTTGTTTGGGGATTTCTGATGTCAAATTTCTTTCCAAAGATGTTTACTGGTCGTCATCAACACCCCACCTTCCTGCAGTACCACCATATATGAGCTGGAGACAATCCCCACATGTCTGATGGTTGGCAGGAAGTGCTGACTTGGTTGCCACAAGCAACTTGTGCCACCAGATGGCGTTTTTCTTTTTATGCGCAATCACAAACCTTTAAATGTTCAGCACACAACGAAAACAGAGAGAAGCTACCCTGACCGCATCAGGAGAGTCTAAATACCCGAACAGATTCAGGAAATTTATCATCACATTATAATCACGGAACAAGTCTCAGAGATTGAAGGGTCAACAATCATTTTTTTTGAGGAAACTTAAAACAATAGCTTTAATACATATTCAGAAGCCAAAAACTAAGAAAGCTGTTTTTTGGGAACTATTCTCATTTGGGAAGAATGTTTGGAAAGATTCCAGTGAAGTGAGTTTATTATTTGCCAGGTCCTACCGGAAACCGATGGTGAGTCATTCCCACTCCCAGTAATACGGTTCAGTTTCGCCAAAAATGGTGTGCGTCGAAAAATCAATTGGAAACGTACTTTTACCCTGAGTCAAGTTGGCTCAGTCTGTTTGTTTCTTTTTACCTTGGTTGCAGAGCACCAGTTTATGCACAACAATATGTGTTACAATCAGCACATAGACACAGCGTCAGAATGTAGTCAGCATAGTTACATGCAGAGCTCAGTAGGAATACAGCTACATACATTTGACTGGGTCACAGCCGCTCTGCATATATATATATATGAAGAGAAAGAGAGAGAAGGGAAGAGAGAGAGTGGCGTATATATAGTCGTTAATTTTCTTTTTCATCAAATGTCAAATGAAACAACAAAGAGAGTAGGAAAAATAAATGAATGCATCTTTGATGGGATTATGGGTGTACACTATCACATATACAGTGGGGCAAAAAAGTATTTAGTCAGCCACCAATTGTGCAAGTTTTCCCACTTAAAAAGATGACAGATGCCTGTCATTTTCATCATAAGTCAACCTCAACTATGAGAGACAAAATGAGGAAAAAAAATCCAGAAGATCATATTGTCTGATTTTTTAAGAATTTATTTGCAAATTATGGTGGAAAATAAGTATTTGGTCAAAAACAAAAGTCCATATCAATACTTTGTTATATACCCTTTGTTGGCAATGACAGAGGTCAAACGTTTTCTATAAGTCTTCACCAGGTTCTCACACACAGTTGCTGGTATTTTGGCCCATTCCTCCATGCAGATCTCTTCTAGAGCAGTGATGTTTTGGGGCTGTCGTTGGGCAACACAGAATTTCAACTCCCTCCAAAGATTTTCGATGGGGTTTAGATCTGGAGACTGGCTAGGCCACTCCAGGACCTTGAAATGCTTTTTACGAAGCCACTCCTTTGTTGCCCGGGCAGTGTGTTTGGGATCATTGTCATGGTGAAAGACCCAGCCACGTTTCATCTTCAGTGCCCTTGCTGATGGAAGGAGGTTTTCACTCAAAATATCACGGTACATGGCCCCATTCATTCTCTCCTTCACACGGGTCAATCGTCCTGGTCCCTTTGCAGAAAAACAGCACCAAAGCATGATGTTTCCACCCCCATGCTTCACAGTAGGTATGGTGTTCTTTGGATGCAACTCCGAATTCTTCTTCCTCCAAACACGACGAGTTGCGTTTTTACCAAAAAGTTCTACTTTGGTTTCATCTGACCATAGGACATTCTCCCAATCCTCCTCTGGATCATCCAAATGTTCTCTAGCAAACTTCAGACGGGTCTGGAGATGGACTGGTTTAAGCAGGGGGACACGTCTGGCACTGCAGGATTTGAGTCCCTGGCGGCGTAGTGTGTTACTGATGGTAGGCTTTGT